GCCAAAAATTATAGGTTTTATATGTATATACTTTTTTTAACCCCCATCTGTCAGAAAAAAGAGGGAAACATTTTTTTTTTGCAATTTAAATCGGAATTTTCCTTATTGGCCCAAAAAAGAAAGAATATTTTTTTTCAAAAATTCACAATTTTTTTCCTTATAAAAATTTTAAATATTTTAATTAACATTTTTGGGGTAATTTAAATTTTTCTTATTTAAAACAAGAAAAAAAGGAATAAAATAATATTACAGAATATTATTTTTTAATTGGCATCAATTTTGTTTTTCCTAGTAGAAATTAAAGAAAAAAATTAATTAACATTTTTGGGTTAATTTAAATTGAAATAATTCTTATTTTGAAAAAATTGTGCATTTTGCATTTAAATATAAAAATTATAAAAATATTAATAATTGTACATTAATTTTGTTACAAAATTGCTATTAATTACTTTTTTCTTTGTACAAATTAAAGCAAAAAAAAAAAACAAATTTATTTACCCAATTTTTTTGTCTGGGAAATAAATATTGTTTTTTATATCTATTCTGTATCTTTAATTGCATTTAATTCTTTAATTTAAATGTAAGAAAAAAAATGGTTTTCTTATATTATCTCACACTGAATTGAATAAAAAAAATTTAAACTCCTATTTTTCTTTAATCTTGGCCTTTACAATTCAGTGCATGTTTTTATAATGTTTGTTTTATGCAGTTTTGGGAGGACCTTGAATTTGAGACCACAGTGATAGAAGAATGTACGACTGGCAAGTATACATATATTGTATAGTAACAGGAATATGCGTACTTATATTAAAAACTATAATAGCATTCGACTTTATAAAAAAAAAACAGTCTCGAATTATTATTTGTGTATACACACGTGTGCACGTGTTTTATTGTATTCAAAATTAAATTTACTATAATGCTTATTCAATTTACTATTTTTAAATTAAAACATATTTTTGTTTATATGCAATGCAAATTTTTGCATTTTTTTATAAAAATATTTAATTATACATTTATAACACAGAACTGTTTAATTTATTTATATCCATAAATATTTTTAAAAAAATTGTATAATAAAAATTTTATATTATAAATTTTTTTCATTACAAATGTAAAATTAAATATTTTTCTAAAAAATGTAAAAATTAAAAATTCGTATTACATACAAAATTTTGAATATTTTTATAATAAAAGAAATAAATAAAAATTTTATAACAGACTATTTTTAAGTCAAATTCAACTTTGATATAAAATTACAGCATTTGTTAATAAATTTCAAAATAAATATTGAACTGAACCAAAAACCGTTATTCAAGTTCACTGTCAATTGTTTACAAATCTATTTTCAAATAATCAGGACATTATGATTCACAAGTGGCTTTAAACTATTCACAAATTTTTCATTGCTTATACGGTCTCTAAAAAAAATGAATAAAATGTCATTGTTTCGATAACACATCTTAGTATAATGAATTTTTTTAAATTAAATATTATTAATTATAATAAAAAAATGTCAAATACTTTTTTTTTATTTAAAAAATAACAATTATACGTTATAATTGATTTTTTTTAATAAAAAAAAAAAAAAACGAAATTATCCATAAAATTTTAATAAAACTATAAAAAGTTTTCAAAAAAAAAAATCCGGAAATTTTTATACAAGTGGATTAACAATATAATTTTATTACCACAGATATTTATAATGTCACGAAAAAATTTTAAACTGAATAAATTATTTTTAACACTTGTGAAAAAAAATTGGAGAGAATAAATTATTACCACTTCTTATATAATATACGTGATTGATGTCCATTTGTTTATGCTGATTAACAAAATTCATATATATATGTATTATAGCAAATGGCATGCAAATAAACAAAATAAACTTTTACTCACTTTTTTTTTGCCCCTTCCAAATGTGTCACACACAGAAAAATATCATCTTTTTTAGATTCTGCAAAAAAAAAGAGAGAAAAAAGGTTAGTCGAGATTTCTTCTGATATAAGCCTACCACAATAAAAAAAAATATGTATTAGGAAGTTTCGAGATCAAAATAATTTTAAAAGGGAAGAGAAGAAAAAAACGAAACAGGATGAATAAAATATATATGCATATATATCAGAATAATAATAATTCAAAAAATATATATGTCTAACATGAAAATAATTTTTATATTTCTTCATTTTTTTTATTCGCCACAAAAATAATTTATTTTTTACTGATTAAAAAAAAATATAATAATTTTTTATTTGCAAAAATATTATTATTTCCATGTAAAAAGCATAAATAATGATTTAGATGAAACAGTTGTGTTTATAAAACAAAGTGGGTTAAAAATATTAAAATTTGTTCTAGTTTAGAGCGCATTTTATTTAAATGCGTTACAGTTTCACACATATTTAAAGTGTGTTAATAACTTTTGAATGTTCGATTTCAAATGTAGATATACAATTTTTTTTTTAAATATCAAAAATAGTTTTTTGTAATTAAAAATCTATCAATTTTTTTTCTAGAAAAAAGAAAACATTATCTATTCCTAATGAATTAATAAATAAATCTTCATTGTCATACATGAGGTGACAGGTCAGAAAAATCTACTTGTCAATTGTGACAACAGTGTGAAACAAACTTCTTTTTTATAATAATATTTTCAAAGACTTCCCATCAATTTTCTAGTAAAATGCAAACATTAAAACTAATGAAAACTACTTGAATGTTCGATACTTATATATATATTAACAATAATCGGAACCAATCGTGTCATATTTTATTTATATTCATATATATTATCTCATGTTAAAAATTAAAATAATCTTAGAATATAATAAATTTTTTCTATTTTTTAACATTAAAATTTTTATATATTTTTTTTACATCCCAGATGTCGATTCTGGGATATAAATCAAGTTTAAATATTTATTTTTATCGATTTCGAATAATTGCATAAAAAGTTATAGTCAAATAACTATAAATTTTTATATATTTTTTAAACTTTGCAAAATTTTGAAAATTTAATTTTTTTCAATTTTATTATTTTATTATTTATTCATTTTTCAAAAGAATAAAAAGATACAAAAATTTTTCTCCTTTTATCGAAATTATTTTGAAATTTGGTATGCATTTAATTTTATATCTTGGGCAATAAATACAAGTTAACAAAACATTTGAAAATAATATGTTATTAACTAAAATTTAATTGCACAGTGAAAATAATCAGTATAGTGATGCACGTCGTACGAAATGATTGAGAAAAACTACGAGAAAATAATTATCATCTTTTTAGTCGCACCAATATTATTCAGTTCATTGAACCGAGTCGAACTTTTCGATCTGATTCTTATTTGGCCTAATATTCATTTAAATTTAATCTAAATTTTATTTAGCGAAAATATTTATCTGTCCTATAAAAAAAAATCGAAAATAAATATTTATCTGTCCTAATACCTATTTATTTAGCTAAATTTTAATTTGATACTCGTTAATAAAATTAAATAAAAAATGGAAAAATTATGCCAAATGAAAATTAAGTTACATAAGAATTAGAACAAATGAAAATTTATTGAAATAAGAATTAGACCCGATAAGAATTATGACAATTAAGAATTATGTTATTTGGCCAAATAAAAATTCGGTTAAATAAAGATTAGGTCACATAAGAATTAAGCCACACGAGAATTAGGATAATTAAGAAATTATCAAATGGAGATTAAGCCAGATAAATATTAGGCCAAATAAGAATTAGATTAAATAAAAATTGGGTCACATAAGGATCAGGATAATTAAGAATTTATGTCGAATAAACATGAGGCCAAATAATAATTACGTTAAAGATAAATTTGGCTAAATGAGATTTATTAAATAACTTTTAGGCTTAATAACTATTAAATTAAATAACGATTAGGAAAAAAAAGATTTATGTTAAATAACTTTTCGGCTTAATAAGAATTAAATTAAATAACTATTAGGCCAAATAAAAATTAGGTTAAATACATGTTAAGCCAAGAATTAGCTTAAATACAAATATTAAGGTAAAAATCAGGCCATTTGAAATTTGAAAATAAAGCGTTTCTGTGCGTTAATAATTTTTCTCGCCATATAAAAATTATTTTTCTTTGTCTAATTTTATTAAAATTAACAACATAGTGTTAATTATTTTTATACATCCAACTTATGAAGTACATAAAATTTAGTTTCGTATATACCACTAAATGTGAAATTTATAATATTGTTCCCGAAAATTCATGAATAATACATATAATTATTTAGTAATTTCACTTGCGCAAATGTATATAGATATATCGAAGCAGGGTGTAGTAAATTATTTTCTTATATAATTATAACAATTAAAAATATATATAATTATGTAATTTTACATTTTCACTTAAGTGAAGACTCTAAGAAATTTTACAATACTATTGGTCAACAAAGGAAAAGAAAATTTTGTTTATCGAATATACAAAATTATTGTTTATATAATAATAATTTTATAATTATTTTACAATAATAATTATAAAATGGCGAATGTGCTCAAAGTTATTTTTAATTCGAATCGAACAAATGTATTATTTTAATTTGTATTTTTTAAAAAATGGAATAAAAACTTTTAACAAAATTGTAAAAATAGATTCTTAATTTGAATTATAAATTATAAAATAAATAAATAAAATATTTATTATTAATTGTATCAACTAATTTGGATAAAAAAAATTATTTTATTTATTTATTTGTATCTAATAATAAAGTTTCGGGGGATTTTATTTCTACTTTAAAAAAAACGAATAAATTTCCTAAAGACAAATCTATTTTTATTTAAATATATAAAAATGATTCAATGAAATAATTGAAATAATCAAAAACCAATAGCTGGGAATTATGAATGAAGAAGGAAAGGGGTGTGAATCAGTGTATAGACTGGATTAGAGTCGAATTTGATTTGCCTGAAACTGAAAGAGCAATGTGGAGACAGGTAACACATGACTAAGACGATATATAAGATTGCAACCGACTCGTCAACACTTCAGTTCTTGAAACGAGGTGCATGTAGGAAACAACTCTCAACCCTTGCCTCTCAAAACATTTTATGTTTACAAAATTGAAAGAAAAATAATTCATTTTATTTAAATTAAATTTATTTTCTTGTTCTCATCAGTTTTTTCGTGTGTGTGAATTTTTCTTCCCAGTAGGGATTTTGTTAAACATCGTAAGTACACATTTTTCACTTTTTCGAAATTTTTTCTTTCATTATCGTTCAAAATTATTTATTTTTTTTTTAATAGGATTTATGTTATATTTTTTATTTTATAATTTTTAAATAAATCGAAAATTTTATTATTTAACTAATTTATAAAGTTATAAATTAGAATTTTATAAATTAGAATTTAGTATTATTAATTTAATGAGAAAATACAAATTAAATTATTCTTAAAAAGTGGTTAATATAAATTCTAAAAAAAAATTGAAAACTACTAAATAATTACTAATAATTGTCTCAATTGTTTAAATAAATTTTTTTTAAACTAAATTAATTGTGATAAGAATTTGAAAAAAATTTATGTTTATTTGGATGTAAAAAAAGTTTGAATAAAAAATAGTTGCAAATTTTCGATGGAAAAAAAAATAATAATAAAACCATCAGTTTTCAATGAAATGCTTATTCTGATAAAAACAAATTGTACGTTTCACAAAGGTCATAATGCGGAAGTTAATTACTAGTATCATTTACCAAAGCAACTATGAAAGTAATTCTAAGTTACTTAATTAAGTTTTAACGTAAGAATCAAACTAATATTCATACTTCAATAAATTGCAAATAATAATCAAACTTTAAATAATGAAAATTCTATATCATTATTTTACTTAAAACGTTAATGTATTTCTTTATATTTTTGTAATTTTCAGTTTTTTCCCTGCATTTGAGTTTTTTGTTTTTGTTATTGAAATTTTTTTTATTTTTTATCAATAATACAATAATTAATTTTTTAAATGAATATTAATGTTATAATTTTATTGTAAAATTTTCTGCTTAATATAACAAATAATCTGTTATTAAATAAAAAAAAACAATTATTATTATTAAACTTTATAGTCAAGTAAACCATCGATTTGCGTTTTACAAAGACTGCTGATAATGTTAAATTCAACCTTTATTATGAAATATGCAATATTATGACATTTTTTTTTAATGTTAAATAATTTTTGGAGAACAAAATTAAAATATATTTTATAATTTAACATTGATTATTTATTTATATTTATAACTCAGTCACCTCAATGTCGATACAATTTCAAATAATAATAATAATAATAATTGCTGTGCTCTAATTTTTAATAATTTTAATGCTCATCAACGTGGAGAATTATTTTTCTTTTATTATTATTTCATGGACTCAAATTATTATCAATGGAAAGAGAATTTTTTTTGCAAATACTTTCGTAGATAATTATTTCTAAATATGGAATTTAAGAACATTTATAAATTATAACAATATCGATTTTCATATAGAATAAAAAATAAATTTAATTTTCTACAAGTTTACAAGTTAATAGAAAAAAAATATAACAACATTTTATTTCAATATATGTAATTAAATTTAATAAGAATGTTATAGAAAACTTGTTTTTTCACAAAGCTACAAAGTTATCGATACAATTATTAAAACAATATTATTACTGCAAATTTCTTTCATAATTTTAACGACCTAAATTCTTTACAAATTCTTTTCAAGTGAATTAAATTAAAATATATAATAATTTCTTAAAATATGATTAATTTTTTTTTTCATTAAATTCTTATTATTTTACATATATGTTGAGAAATTAATAAAAATTAATTAATAAAAAACTTGAAATTAAACTATTTGTTTAGTGTTAAAAGTATTAGCAAAAAGAATTTTTTTCCGCATTTTTTTGTTTTCATTGTGCGAACAGATCTATAATTGAAAAAATAGTAATTTATATGTACAACTATGAATTCTTTTTTTACATTGAGTACAGAAAAACAATAATAGCGGTTCATTGACTACACACGAGACGTTAAACTGTGACTTATTTTGGTGTATACATTTATAGAATTTTTGCACAATATTAAAACGCAACTAAACAATGCGAATTTTATTTCCAGTGTTTAAATTTATAAGTACCAATGGACCTGACATGACAACAAATTACATCTAAAACCTTTTCATCGAATAGAACACGAACGCGTTTCGATTGCATTATTTTTGTCGTCGAATTCCTTGTTTGGCCATTCATTGTCCCGCCATGTCTACAATTTCTAAGATTCATATTGAAATCACATAAGCCATTAATTACGAAAACCCACCCCCCCCCCTCCCCCTAAATGTACGCCACTAACTGAATTTTAATTTACGCGTGTGCTAATCACTAAATTTTTCAATGATAATAATATTGTAATTCCAAAAAAAAAAATTATGTTTCCTATTTTTTATAAACTTTTTTTTTTAATAATTTTACTAATTAATAATTTGAATTTTTTTTTTCAAATATTCTACAAAAATGTTCTGTAAATACAGGGAAAAAAAATGTTTTGTAAAATTTTAAAATTATATTGTTTCATATTTTTAATAAAAAAAATTTGGTAAAATTTAATAATTTAAATATTTATAAAAATTAAAAATTACTTTCAAATTTTCAACGATATATTAGCTGAACTTCTAGGAAAGATCACTCAATTATCAATTGAAAAAATTACGACTTTGTGTTATAAATCATTTACAACAAGAAAATATAAAAAAAAAACGCATAACCACTATGATGTATTTATCGTTTTGGTGCGCTAGCGAAGCTGTCATCGATAAAAAAACAAAAAAATGTTCATTAGCAATTAATAAACTATACTGACTATAACTTACCTACGACAATTATTATTATTATTATTATTATTATCATTATTATCCCACAAGATAGCAGAATTTCTCAATAAATAAAATTACATTTAATTTACGTATATTTGATCAAATTTTTTAAATCGCCGATAAAAAACTGTTAAGAAAATTAAATCCTTATTTTATTGATGACCAATGGAATTTGAATAAATAACTAAAAAAAAATTTATTTGATTCAAATAATCGGTTACTTAACTCAAACAAACATTTATTTGTATTAAATATTTATTTTTAATTATTATTTCTTTTTTTTGTCTATATGTGAGGAAAAAAAGTCGGTAAATCGAGCAAAGTTAATTTATAACCTTGCGAATCCCCGCGATATTGGATCGTGCACTTGGAGCGCCCATTTTTCCAAGAAATAAACGAGTTTTTATTAGTTTGCAATCTTTGGTGAGACAGCTTTTCCTTTCGGTTTTTCGTAATCATTCGTTCTCCATATAATAAACTGCGTGTAAACACATGTTATAGCGCAAATGGAAAAAAAAAAATTTTCATTCCTTGCGCGTCCTCAACAAAATATAAATACAAACATATTCATAAAATTTTTTTTATAAATTAATTTTTTTATTAATTTTTTATTAATTTTTTATTAATTTTTTAATCAAATTTTTAATTAATTTTTTTTGTATCATAATGAAATGTACAAAAGTTATGTACACAAATTTTGTAACTAATAAAAAAAAATAATAAATAATAATAATAATAAATAAAAATAAATAATAATCGTAATTTTAAAGTAATTTAAAAATTTTTTAAAATGAAACGCAACAAAAAAAATCAAAATATACAAATTGCAATTGCGCAACATAGAATGAAATGCTTATAAGAATCTTTCGCTAATCACCGCATAAATAGTCAATAATCACAACAGTTAACGGTAAAAAAATAATACATAAGATAGAATTCTCTATTGTTGTTTTTTGAATTTTCAATCATTTTTTATTATTGAAACAACAAAAAAAAAAATTTAATTTGCTTTCAATAATTTCTTAAATTTAAATAAAAAAAAATTGTTATTAAACAAGTTTTATTCAAAGAAACTGTTTTCTTTTTCTGTATTTTAGAAAATTAAAAGTAAAATGTCGAAAATTGGAAAAAAATTGCATTTTATCGAGGGAGATCTAAAAAATGTTATATATAGTGAAAGGAACCATTTTTATATTATACTTTGACTATTATTATTATTATTATTAATAATACAAAGAAAAGGGGCAAATATATGAAAATGGTATAATTTAAATCCAAGCTAGTGGGGTTTCAAAACTATATATTCTCGAAATTATGAATAAATTATCTATTATTAGTACACTATTACACCCATAAATATCTCACTGAATTGCCATTTGCTCCTAAAAAATAAAAATCACTTTTCACCAACTTTGCTAAAAATTCATTTCGCAAACATAAGATATAATCCATTATATAGAAATTAGACTAACAACTACCTACAATTTTTCAAAATTCAATAAATTCTTCGAATTTCTTTTTCAATTTCCTAATCAACAAAATATATACACATATACAATTTAGAAAAGTCCAAGGGATTATTTAACAACCGCAAAATTATCTATTTTATCGCTATATGTCCATTTAAAAAAAAAAGTAAAAAAAAAAGAAAAACCGCACACACCAAGAATGATTTCACCTGATTACAGATGTCGCAATTGGTTGAGAATATCTATAATGCCTATCGAGATCTCATGGACAACAAAAGTGATCCAAGGGTCAATGACTGGTTTCTAATGAGCAGTCCTTTTCCAACTTTAATTATATGTCTTTCGTATGCGTATTTTGTCAAAAGATTGGGACCAAAACTCATGGAAAACAGAAAGCCATTTGAATTAAGAAAAACAATGATCTACTATAATCTTTTTCAAGTTATATTTTCATCATGGCTATTTTATGAGGTAATTCAAAATTAGATATTGTATAAAATTTAAAGATTATAAAAAATTTGCAAATGGCAAATTAAAAATTATAAAAATTTAAGAATAATAAATTTAAGACTATTAGATTAAGAATATAAAAATTCAGAACTAGGAAAATTCTAGAGTAATAAAAATTCAGGACTATGAAAATTCAAGAGTATGAAAATTTAAAACTATAAAAATTCAAGAGTATAAAAATTCAAAATTACAAAAATTTAGGACTATCAAAATTTAAGAGTATAAAAATTCAAAAATATCAAAATTCAGGACTATCAAAATTCAAAATTATAAAGATTGAAAACTAAAAATTAGTATAAATGAATATAAAAATTAAAAACTATAAAAAGTCAGGACTATCAAAATTATGAAGATTCAAAACTAGAAAAATAAAAACTATAACAATGCAGTACTATAAAAATTCAGGATAATAAAAATTCTAGACTATAAAATTCAAAATTATATAAAATTCTAGAGTACATATAAAATATCAGGAGTAATTAGAAAAAGCCATGATCTAGTAAATGTTGTTACTATTTCAAATTAAGAATTTACGTTCTCTCTCGTGGTTTTTTTTTCTCACTAAGAATATTTATATTCTAACTTGTGATTTGCATTATTACAGTCATTAGCCTCTGGATGGGGAGGACAATATTCCTTGAAATGTCAACCTGTCGATTACTCGAGAAGTCCCATGGCAATGAGAATGGCGAAAGGATGCTGGTGGTATTATTTTTCCAAGTTCACTGAATTCATGGACACAATCTTTTTCGTCATGAGGAAGAAGTACGATCACATCTCAACGCTACATGTTATTCATCATGGTTGCATGCCAATGTCCGTTTGGTTTGGTGTCAAATTTACACCAGGTAGATTTTTACAATTTTTTTTTTTTTTTTTAAAGTAAAAATAACATTCAAAAAGAAATCAATCCTTGAATTATGAATTTAAAAAACTCTTTTAAAAACACAACCAAATATTATACAACAGTATTTTTTGAATTTCTGAATTTAAACCACAGAAACCTAGAAGAGAATAGTCAAATCTGTTGTTTAATATTGCTAAACTGTTCTGTTTGATTCAAAAAAATAACAAAATAACGGATTGTAATTGTACAACAATCCGTTAGGGACAAAACAAAATTACGAATTTATTTTGATTTTGAATCGGGGTAAGGAAACAAAAGTAGAATCTGATTTTGATTTGGTTTTATAAACGAAACAAAAGTTTAAATTAATTTTGATCAAATTTTTAGAACGAAACAGAAGTGGAAACTAATTTTGATTCGGTTTTGCTAACGGAACGATAGTAGAATCAATAATTTTGATATCAAAATCAAAACTAAACAAACGTATTTTTAAATTTTCTTTTAATGATTTCGTTACTGATTTTAGTATTTGTTTTCTTATATTAAATTTAACAGTTCTAAAACATTTTTCCCTTATTTTTGCAGGTGGCCACAGTACATTTTTTGGACTTTTGAACACATTCGTTCACATAATTATGTACAGTTACTATCTTCTATCAGCATTGGGTCCTAAAATTCAACCCTATCTCTGGTGGAAGAAATATTTAACAGCATTACAAATGGTTCAATTCATTCTAGTAATGATTCATGCCTTTCAATTATTATTCATTGACTGCAAATATCCAAAAGCATTTGTTTGGTGGATTGGAATGCACGCTGTTATGTTCTATTTTCTCTTTAGAAATTTCTATCATGAAACTTATAAGAAGAATAAGGAAAAATTGTCAGCAATTAATAATAAAAAGGAAAATTATATTAAGGCAAATGGAAATGGTACAAATAGCGAAATTTATGTTAATCATTATAAAATGACAACGGGTTACATATCTGACAATGGTATGAGAAATCGTGTTTTCATTGATAAACAGGAAGTTGAACAATGAATCGTCATTTTCATTAAAGAAAAAAAAGAAAGACTCGTTCAAACTTACAGAGGGTACTTAATTTATAAGAACATTTATCATTCATTTTGGCTGTGATAATGTGTCTTTGGACAGGGAGATAACAAAAAAAAGTTCAGAGAAAGAATCATTGCGATCGCGAAAAATCGATGTTTAGACTGATTCTAAGAACTTTAAATGCCTAGAAATTTATTTTTTTTTTCAAATTGGATTTTGAAGAAAAATTGATAATGCATTATTTTCTATGATAATCACGTTTGTCAATTAATAAAAAATTTTGAAGGCATTCATTTGTGTGAGAAATAGTATGGGATGTTACTTTTTTGCATATAGGGATTAAGATCTTTTGTTCAATGATCAAATCATATAACAACAAATCATGAACATTAAACTAAATTTTTTATATTTATAAGTCATTTTAAGAATCAAGTTCTTCACAACGAAATGCATCTCAGGTCACTATTTAACTATTTTAACCTTACATATTATGTAAAAACCAAGAGAATTTTTGTATCAAATTTTTATGTTATTTTCGAATGATAAACATTTCTTTTAATTAAAAATATATTTAAAAAATCTTTTGTCAATTATTAATTATTATACAATTAATATTTGACAAAAGATTTTTTTTAAATTAGTCAGGTGTCAATGATGTAAAATTAATATTCAATTATTATAAATTTTTTCTTTTTTTTCTCTCTCTTTTTGATCTCGTGATTAAAATAAGTTAATTCATTCATCAGTAGTTGGTAATAAGGTTCACTTTGATTCAATATTCATAAAATTTTTGTTATATTCAAAATACATACATGGAGAAAACGATCACTATAGCAATAATATTTATTTCCGTTTCGATTTTAAGGTTTAATGTAATATCATATGTTAATTTTGTAGCTTTTATAATATGAAAAGTACAAAAAAATGGACGAAAAACATATTAAGAATTATTTTTGTCAAATATATTATTTAAGTAAATTTTCGCTAACTTTAAAAATTATTTGTGGAATTGTAAAACATGTAAACACATTTTTTTTTTTTTTTTATTTCAACAGAAGGAAATTTAGATTAAATTATAAATTAGTGAGTTAATTTTATAGAAAATTAAACTAATTAATTAGTTTAATTATAATAATAGTAAATCTTAATTTCGAATATTTGAAAATTAATTTGCAAATAAGAATTATAATTTTCTTAAATATAATTAGTTAATTGAAACAATTTTTTTGTAACCTTTTTTCATAAATGTACATGTATATAAAAAATGTGTAAATAAACTTTGAAATACCATTATTAAAAAAAAATATAAAAAAATGAATCAATTTGTTTTTTACAACAATTTTTACAAATTTGTAATTTGTTTAATTTTTCTACTATTCAAATTTTATGAAAATCTTCGATACCGACAATCGATAAATATTTTCACTTATAGTTTTCGCCTAAAGAGGGCGACACTATTTTAGAATGGTACAAATGGTATCTACATTATCACTGATATTAAATTATTTGAAATAACTTTTCATAACACTATCTGAAATACATAATTAATTGATGCAATCAATGTTAACTAATAATTAATTCAACTCAATTAAAAAATGCTTTCTCTCATGTGACAAAAATTAAAAAATTTTCTAATTATTTGATTCATTTTGATTATATTCATAACAAATAATTAATTAAGAAATAATTATGCAATAATTTAAAAAATAATTATTAATTAATTTAGAAAAAAAAAATTCTGATCATAAGTTAACAATGACGATTTTCTAAATAATATTATTAATCATAATTAAAAATATTTTAATGCAATCACTCCCATGAGATTTCCGTAAATACTTGAATCATTAAGCATATATTTAAATTTCGCACATCAACTAAAAACATTTAAAGAATTCAATAGAATTTACCTAGAGGGAATCAAAGTTCACTCATAATTATAATACGTCATTATTTCAAGAATTTTTGTTACTTCTTTCAAATCCTCATAACAAGGTCGATAAATTCCTTTCCCTTTTTCAGAAATCAAATCTGACATATAATATTTCAGATTTTATTTTCTTTATTTCTTATAATATAAAATTTTAATTTTTTTTTAATACAGATATAAAATTAATTCAAAAAAAACATACAAAATAGTAAAAATATTTAAAAAAAACTAAAATGCCAAAGATTAATATACAATAAAATTAAAAAAAAAATGATTAATTCATTAACAAAATGAATTTTAATATGTAAAGAATTAATAGTAAAATAAATAAAAGAATTAACACATTAAACCAGAAATTGATGTAACGTATAGAAAGTGTAAGCACGAATGTTCTAGATCAACAACATTAATTAAAATCAATAGATATTACATTATAGATTTGCTCATTGTGTAATAGAAAATTTATAAATGAATTAAGAAATGATTTGAAAAAAAATTGTTTCATTCTACTTTTTCTTATAAACAAAAAATTAAGTTTCAATTTTTAATTAAATCGTTCGTAAATTATAGCGATACTTATTAAAATTAATATCGATTTTAATCAAATACTATTTCCGGAATGATCGGTTAATTGTAATCGATATTTTGAAAATCATTTGTCAAAAGTCGATTGATCGATAATCGATTTCGATTCCAATCTCTTGTTTATTAAATAAAAAAAAATATTGGACTAAATGAAAAAATATTTTTACCAAAAATTACCATCTATGAGTACTACAAATGCCACGAGTTTATAAGCGTGATCGGAGAAAAAAATTTTGTACTTTGATCATTTCACCTGGAATCCCCATATGAATCATATGTTTTTGTTTGTCAAAACTAAATATTTTTTTCTATTGCTACATAATTCTAAATTGTGACAGGATTTTTTTTTTCCTATTCTCATTAATTATATTATATATTCAGGTATGCAGAAATCTAAACAAAATTGTAATATAAAAAAAAATGCCTTTTTATTTATTTACGCAGTGGAAAAATCTCATAAAATGACCTTTATAGAATATTATTTTAAAGGAAAATTCTTTTGTTAATATAGAAGAAAATTTTATTCTTCTTTTTTTTAAGGAAGTATTTTTAAATAACAAAAAAAGGAAATATAACTCACTTCTCAGTTAAAAAGTTGGTTAGAAATTCTAAATTTTTTTTTTTATTATTGCACAGTTACACAGTAACTACACATGACGATAAATTCGTCCAATTTCGAAATGAAAACTATATACATATATATATATGTTTGAAGAAGAGTTTGAACTATACAGAATATGTTGAATATTTGATAAATTCATATGTTGGAATGGAAATTATTCAGATTTTAATACAAAATATATTTCGAAACGACAAAAGATTTGACCATATCGTTCAAAATATTCGCTTCAGTTATTTCAAATTCACGAAAGGGAAATATGAGTTCAATCACATATTTGAATTTTCTAAAATTGTCCATTTTGCATTAAAAAAAATTTCTTTCTATTGTTTTTTTTTCTAAAATTATTATAAAAAAAAATAATAAAAAAGATAACAGATAAGCAAAACAAAATTAATTTTAAAAACCGAATTTTCAGCTATATGCCATTGCAAATTCTATTGCCAAAAAAAAAAATGTGTAAAATATTACACCGCTATAAGTAACCGATTATTTGAATCAAATACATCTTTTTTAATAAATATGAAAATTCGAAGACATATATTATATAACTGTTAAATAATTATACATTTTTATCAAATAAATATGTAGGGAAATAATAATAATAAATTGGGTAATGAAATGGAATTTAAGTGAATGATGAAAGAAGAAAAAAAAATAATTTCTTGAATGGCTTACACAATGCAATTTTATATACATATGTCTTCGTTACAGAAATAGAATTAATCGTATAAACTATAAAGAAACACTTCCAAATTCCGCACTTTCTCTTATATTTTAACGTTTTAAATATTCAATAAAAAATTCTCAAGATTTTTTTTTCATTTCGTTTCATTTCTCAAAATTTTTCATTTTCTTTTTTGTATTTGAATTTTTTTTTGATATCATATATATTAAAAAAAAAATTGCAAAAAATTGAAATTCTTCTTGAATAAAATTTAAAAATGGTGTTAAATGTAAAAAAAAATAAAAAAGACTTAAAGTATAATAACATATGTCTTAACTAATTGCAAATTTAAGTAAGTTTGCATAACCTTGTGAAAGTTTTTCGAATATTTTACGTTTTATTATCCAAGGGTTAATGATTGTTTAACGATATGTACATCCAACTTGATATATATACTAATGTCGTCAATCATTAAGAAAACATTACAGTCTAATTATTTCAAAAAAAAAAAAATCAAAAGAAGATTACTATAAACAACAAGTTTTTTATGTATATTTCAAATTTTTTAAAAAGTAATTACTTTTATTAATTTTTTATTATATAAATTTAAAGTCAAGATAGATTGAAAGACTATATATATAATAATAATCAAATACATATTAACGATTTTAAAATATATGACAAAATTATGTATATAATTTAAAAGACAGGTCACTATATCGATAAGGATTTTATTTGTAATGTTATTTTATCATTTTTTTTAATGCATTATGACGTTTGAAACTAATAAACATGTATCTTAATGGAAATAAAATAATGTAAAATTACTTTTTTTAAAGTTTTACTATATGTAGGTACATATTATTTAACGTTTTTTTTATCTACGTAAGAATGTAATTTATTTAAAATTTTTATGTTTATAATAATAGGCATAAAAAAAGAAAGAAAGAAAAACAAATATTTCTTTAATATACTAGTAATTTATCAACAAAAAAAGAAAAAGTATTTTTTTGTCAAAGATTTATTTGTTTAAATATATATAATTTTTTGTGATTTATGACAAACATTACAAAAATATATATAATTTTAAACAAATTTATCAATTAGTTAATTAATCGAAATTCAGTTAATTTTCAAGTTTCATTCAAGTCTTAATTAATTTTAAATTTCCCGCCAAAAAGTATTGGTATAAAATTCACAAAATTTTCATTAACAAATTGTCGTGGATAAATGTTTGTTGGAAAAAATTAATTTTCACTTTTTTTTGCCTATTTTGATAGAAAAAATTACGATTATCATGAATTCGATGTGTTTTTCAAAATTCAAAATGGCGGATCAAATATGGCGGCCAATTTTTTTAAGAATTGATCGAATTCGCTTGGAATTCACTACTCGTGGGTTTTCGGGGTCGCTGATTACGAATCTGATGTCAGATTTTCAAAAATTCAAAATGGAGGGTCAAAAGTGGGGGAATTTTTTAAAAAGTCCATCATATATGAAAATCAAATTCAAAATCAGGGACATATTTAATATCTCTAATGATACATTTTAAATGAGTGTTCATCGCAGCATAAATAATGACATAAGATTTATAAAAGTAACCCAAACGCGATTGCCAAATTGCCGCCTTTCGACCATAGATTAAATTCTTTTTGACCATAGGCAGTCGTTTTAGTGTGTTTCAAAAAAAAGAAAAAAAGCACAAGAAAGAAGACGAAGGTGAGGGGAATGGCATGAGAAAGGGAAAGTGGAAAAGAAGCAGACTCATGTCCGGCCAGCATCCGTATAGTCATTTAAAATAAAACTGGTATGATCACTTTTGCTGACCGCTGAGTCTACCGAATGACTTGCATAACCCTTTGCAAGGCTGTATTACATTGACGACATCTCACTCCTTTTCATGATCTTTCTTTAAGAATTGAAACAACTCTCTCATTTCATGTTAACCTATCTTTTCCTTCTCTTACCACATCGTATATTCATTGAATAGACATAATTATTACAAATTTCCTAGTATTGGGAAAAATTAAAGGCTAACAAACATATTCATTAACACCTACAACTTTTTCGCTCTAATTAATGACTTTTAAATTAAAGGATTTGGCTACGGGACCCAATTAGATATTTGTGATTATGTTTTGGTAATTTTTTTTTTTTATTCAAATCCCTATATTTTTCTACATTTCCCGTATCATTGTTGTGACACTAAGGTGTATCCATAAAAAAAAAAATTTTCGGTTCATGCGATAATGATGAGAGGTATATCACGTAATACAAAACAGGTTTTTTTATACGTCTTCGAAATGGTGTCTATGTCTCAATTTTTTTGAGGTCAAGGGAATATTATACGAGAAAACGAAACAGTGGATGATAATCATATTGTACATTTTGCATTAAGGGTGGGAAATCCGTGCTTATGTGCCAAAAACAACTCGTTTTTCGAACATTAACTAATTAGTTTGATTTAAAATAAAAATATAATCCTATTGAAAATTGTTAATTAAATTATTGCTCATTACGAATTCAATGTAAGTTTTTAAAAATTCAAAACGGATCTAATATGGAGTTCAAAAGTCCAAAAAATAATCTAAGTTCATGGAAAAGTGTGACGTAATTTATCCACGGCCCTAAAACTTTGATATTTACTGGGAATTTTTGTTTTTTTTTCAATTTTTTTATTATTTTGTTTTCTTTACATATCAAATTAATGATTCAAGAAGAAGGATATGGTTCATGAATAAAATATGAATACCTATTTTTTATTTCCTATTTTTCACTATTTTCAACAACAAATGGGTGCGAAAAAAATCAATCTGTATATTTTTTTTGTTTGGATCGAATTTTTTGCTACACAAAACTATTCTTTCATTATTATATTCAAACGACAGAGAAGATTATACACATATGGAGTCTATATAGGTAAACAATTCTATAACCGGAAAAATGGAAAGAGAAGTGAAATTTCTGTCAAGTGTTGTGACTAAGAATTCCAAGTCGATGAACGGGAGGGTAACTGGAGAAAAGTGAAATACATAACGTGTATAACATGTGATGTAAGAAATGAACGTGACGCCGATTTCACTCTATCATGTATCGAAATGATACACAATAAGTGCAACTTAGGATTCATACTGTCATTTTTAACTAATGCTTTAATTTTCTTATTTTTGCACACGCTGCTAAGTTATATGTATCATTTAGAGTGCTTTTACTTTTTTTTTCTATTAATTTTATGAACACATATTGTTTCCTCATAAAAGTTTCTTAATTTTTTTTAACATCCCAAGATTTTCAGCATGCTTGCATTGCATGCTTTCTGAAAACTTACAATTGGGATGAAACATAAAAAAGTATAAAACCCCCTTAATTTTATATATATATTTTTTTTTAGAAAGCAAAAAAATATTTCACAAAAAGATCATGGAAGGCATTCACCGAAAAAAATGATACTAATATTGAAAATTTAGGTATAATTGCAATGTAACTATTTTCACTATACTTCCTTGTTGTCATTGCAATATAATTTATACACTCGTGTATTTACGTGTATATGTGTGTTTAGTACTTTCACGCGAGGTGTTTCGCGAAATGAGTTAAATTTAATATTCTTCGCATGGTGAGTATATTTTTCTAACTCATGACAATTTTATGTTAAAAAAAAAAATTCTGGTTGAAATAACGAGAATTCTGCTTAGGGTATATTTAACATTATTTTTCTATTTAGAGTAACCAGAATATTATGTTAAAGAACAAAATTATTATTTATAAAAAATGTATCTCTAACCTTTTAAAATCTGCAACAGATGTATCATATATACTTCGGATGAGAAGATATCTGCAGGAACCACACGTGATTTAAACAAATTTTCAAACACTCCCAAAACTGTGCTTTTTAAAAAAAAAATAAGGAAAATACTTTTTCTAAAGATTTAAGCGATCGCGATTTTAAGAATTTCGAACACTCCCGAAATTAGGTTTAAATAAAGAAACGAAATTCTTTACTCCTTAAAATTTTAGCTAACACGGTTTCTGCGAATTTTTAACACTCCTGAAACAAAAAATCATACATGGCAAATTATTATCAACCCTCACAAATAATAGAAGCATTTCTTTCTGAAGCATTTCAAAATTTCTTGAAGAGTCAACCAGTTTCTATATTTGAATCTAAATTTTCCGATAGAAACTGATTGGCTCGGAAGCAAATTTTGGAATACCTATAGAAATAATAATTATCGAAACTGATTCTAGAAACTTCATATGGTACCTTTTGTAAATTTTCTATAACTTCCTAAAATTTATGAAACCTTTTTAAAACTTTATTAAACGGTCCAGAAAATTTGTGGAAACTTGCAACATTCTAAAAGTTTCCAAAAAATTTTGCTACACCATTTTCTAAAATTTTAAGAAGATTCGATAGTTTTAGAAAGTTCTAAAAAGATTCAAAAAGGTTCCTATGAAGTTTCTAAGAAATTTTCGAATAAATTTTTAGCCTAGGTACTCAGTGATAATACACTTAAAAAGGGTTTGCTTTTGATAACAAAACGTTTGGTTGGTATTTAAGCATCCAAAATTTGCTAGTTGTGCCAACAAAATTTTGGTTGTCCGATCCAAACTTCATTTAAGAGAACAAAAATCCTTTTTTCTAATTTTGGTTGTGTCAACCAAATTTTGATCGAGACAATCAAAATTAGTACAAAAGGATTCTTGTTGTCTTAACTAAAATCTGGTTGGGTCTAGCAAAATTTTTTTGACACAACAGAAAAATTTTAGTTACTTAAATAGCCACCGAACGTTTTGTTGTCAAAATCAAACCCTTTTCACAGTGTATGCTTCCAGATCGTTTCATGAAGCCTCTGGAAGATTTTCAAAACGTTCTAAAAAGTTTCCGCAAATAATTTTACTGTTTTGCAATTAGACAACAGAGAGGTGTTGGGTCATTTTTCAAAATTTGCGCTCTCGACTGAATTTTGATGCCAAAAATTTGTGATTACATATGTATATATGTTACCGGCAAAATCCGAATAATCTAGGCGAAACCCGAAACACCTAGGCAATTATGAAAATATCTATAAATCTCTAGGAAATTTGGGTATTTCCTAATATCATAAGCAAAACCAGAAATGCCTAGGTAATTCGTCTTTTGACTGGTCTTCGGGTTTTGCAGGTATATAATTTTAACAGACACAGTTTTAACTGTATTATCGTGAGGAAAATTTGATTTATACGCCTATGATTTGTAACCGTCGCGTCGAGTATCGCCGCCGGCTACCGTCAGATGGCAGATCATCTTCAGTCTCATTTGGCACTATTTGATGTCGACGACGACGCTGCTCGACTTGCGTGCAAACGTCGTCAACGACGGCAGCGTCGTCCTGTCCTCCTTGTATAGAAATATTCCTCGTCTCTCTTCGCATTTTTGCCTGATAATTTTTGAGGCAAGCACGACAATTGTAAATCAAGTATTATTTTTTTTTTCTGTGATTGTCGGTTGTGATTCTACCCGTCAGGTTCATAGTAAGGAATATCCTCTCTTCAAGTCTCTCTCTCTCTCTCTCTCTCCCTCTCTTTTTTTTCTTTCTCTCTTTTTCTCTCTCGTGCACCGTTACATTTGTGCGTGGAACGGCGGGTAGAATGGTTGGTGTGTGAACGTTGCTGGCTCTGCGCTCGCGTGCGAAAAAACGAAAGAGGGGCGAGGCGACAAGCGAGTTTCGTGGTCACAACACATATATACACACACACACAGAGAAAAGGAGGGCACAACCACGATCTGTACGAAAATCGGCTGATAGACCATCGCCGCTAAAAACGCGGGGACGTCAGTCGAAGCACGACCGCGTGTCGGGAAAAATCAGTTAGTTTGGTGTTCAAAACCTTTTCGATTTTGTTCCCTCTCCATTGTTATTTTTCAAAATAAGTTTCAAGAAAAAAAATAAATAAATAATTTTCATTCAAGAAAATTCATTTAACAAAGAGGGATTAAGAAAAATAGTGATTTTGGCCGGTAAATATTCTTCTATTTAGTGCCAATTTAGTGTCGCTCTCTCTTGCTCATTCAACTGCCAATCCGGCACAACACGCGGTCGAGCAGCCGAAATTTTTCTCTCTCCCCCTATTTTTTTTTTTTTTTTTTTTTTTAATGTGTTCCTCATGAAATCGACGCTCTGGCTCAAAATCGAGGTTACATTAAGTGACAAACCTCGTTAACGTGACGTTTTTTTAACAAAGTTTATGTGTCCAGACAGGTGACAGGAGAAGTGACTTTAGTCCAGAAAACTAGGGGAAGAGGACAAAAGGAAACAGGTGAGCGTAACTAGTATAACTCTAATTGTGTGAGTGTGTGTGTGTGCGTCAATTTGAGTGCGCGCCAAATACAATCCGCGTAAGTTCACGTAATCAAAGTACCGAATGGGCGCGTCCTCAAAATGTGTAAGTGCGTGTGTGAAAGAAAAATGCGTGGGTGGAATAAGAATTTCTTGATTCTCCGGATATAAAGCGTATCGGTCAGCAGTTGCTTTCGCAAAAATTCTTTTTTTGAGGTTAGGTAGGATATGCTTTTAAAGGAAGACGGATCGATATGGCTGTCTTTACAATATATAAAAATGAAAAATATACTTCTTTTTCCCCCCGCCTCTCTCACATAGCCGATAACATTGTATATAGGAATGAATCACGAGCCAAAGAAATGTCTCATTGAAAATGAATTCAATTTTATTTTTATACCAAAAAATAGTCAGATAATTATGGCAGAAATTAGTAGCATTGTAAAAAAAACTGATATTTTTCAAAAATTTTGATTAGACAAGAAAATTTTGCTATAAACAAATATTGTTTTACTGTCAAAAATTTATTTACAGTAAATAAAAATTTAAAGGGCAAATATTAAAAATTAAGCCAAAATTAACCATTGTATTTGGTTAATATGATTTGGATATAAGCCAAATTTTATAGTTATTCATTCTAACCTGTAAAAAAAATCTCCACATGTGTAAATATTAGTGTTCTAATTCTTTGACTATTAGTAATCCTGAAGATCCATGTGGAATTTAATAAACTGACCTAAATTTTCGACATTAAGATTGTTCTATTTTTTTTTTTTGGAGGAAAAAATTTTCAAAAAGTCTAATAACATACAAATTTTCTAGATTAAGAAAAATTTTGTTTCACTGAATAAAACTGTTTTCTGGGTGTGTCATATATGGAAAATTATAATTTACTCAAAAAACCGCAAACTTTTCTAATTTTATGTATTTTATTCCATTAATATATAGTTTACTTCATTCGTATACATCTCGTGTATATTCATATCGTAATAATAATTGTGTGGGATGAGATTATTAACTCGGTGATTCATACTACGAGTTCAAATTTAACTATTGGAATTCACGCAATCATTGTATCATTTTGGTACTTCAAATACTATGTAAAAATGACGTTATTCAAACACGTGTTTTTTTTTTTAAATTTTATATTCATAATTATCTGTAAAATTTCTAATTTTTTATGTCACAATGTTGATTTGATAAAACGCATTAAAACTTTCCTATCATTATAATGACACTAAAATTGACATTATTCTCATCATTAACAAAACTCTACAATAATATGATTAAATATCAATGTCGTATAGAAATATCTATATTTACAGTTCATTATAGTTTGTGATTCATGAGCCTATAATTATGTCAGTACCCAATAATCATTTTCATTCAGTGCAACAAAATACATCGACGCAAATTAATATCGTATACACGTGAAAAAATAATTTTTTTTTATTTTTTTCAACTTTTTCTTTCAATGTTAGTTTTAAAATTTATTATTATTATATATTGATCGTATTTCAAATTTATTTGTTATTTCTATTACAAATAAACTTCTTTCGTATAGTACTTTTGAAAAATTTATAGATCATTGATCTATTCATATTTTATTCATTAACTATGAATCATATTTTCCTCTTGAATCATTAATTTGAGATGTAAAGAAAAGAAAAAATATAATAGTACATTGAAAAAAACTTCCTAGTAAATATCAAAGTTTTAAGTATATATATGTAAATTTTACCTATAATCCTAAGCATTCATTTGTAAAGAAAATAAACATTTAAAAAAAAAAATCTTAAATCAATTAAAAAAATATACGCACGTCATTTACAAAAGAAGTCCCTGAAATTTACATAATATTAAGTTTCTATTTCCGTTGAAAAAAGTAATTATTTAAAAAATAATTCATCAAAAATCAAATATTTGAAGAAAAAAGAAAAAATATTTTCAGTTAGAGAATAGAAATTCATTATTGTTACTAAAATTTCCAGGGTCATTTATGTTTAGATTCAATAGACTTTTAAAAGTCATAACAATAATTTATATTGTATACTACTATTATATAAAAATAGTTTAGAGTTGCGAATGCAAAAAATTTTTTTTTTTTTTTTTCAAAATTACTTTTACAACTGAAAGTATAATAAAAAAGAGTGAATTAAACTTCTATAAATAGAACAAATTAATAAATGAAAATTTAGTAAATTCTATGAATCAAATGAAATTTTGAAAGCTTTTATGAATTCATTTTCTTTTTAGGCCCTTTAGATATAATTTAAAAGCATTTTAATGCTTCATCTGTTTTTCTATAATGTAATTACAAAAATATAAAGAATAATTTATTTTTGAACTCGTATTTTAAAAACATCACAATATTTATGTTTTGAAACAAACTAATCGTTTTGAGATAATAAGTTCTAAAAATATTGTTCAGGAATGTTTAATGTCGCCGTGCAACAAGCTAAAACAGATAAGGTCATATATAGAGTATATATACATATTGAAATACTGTGAGAGATTGAATTTGTTCAATTTTTTTTTTAGTCATCTATTGACTTCTATTCTAACCAATCCCTTTAAGTCTGGAAACCTAGAAATGTCGAAATCCCATTAGTCACTTAACGAGAAATTCGAATTAATCAGAAAATTTGATTATATAAATGGTTAAAAAAAAATCAATGCCTATATAGCATTTTTTTTTTTCAAAAGTTCTTGTGAGAAAAATATAAAACTATTTATTCATACAATGAATAATTAAGAAGGTGTGTGGTTTTAAAAAAAAATTAAATTCATTACAAGTCTATGATAAAAGACAAAAATAACAGGAATATAGAAATATTCTACTGTAAAAACAGAGTGGCCACAAGGCAGAAAAATGTCAGGGAAAAAGTTTTTTTTCCAAGGCAAGTCAGGGATTAAAAATTTATGTCAGGGAAAATATAGAAAATTGAAAAAATTAACGATACAAAAAAGTATGTACTTTCAGTTTTTTAATTTAGTTCATTAAATAAAGATTTTGATTAACGATATGAAAATCGTTTACTTAGTGTGTGAGTTGGTTGAGTGGCTTTTCTACTCGATTTACAACAACAAGGGCCGGGGTTCGATTCTTCATACCTTCGAATTTTTCTGTTTCACAATTTTGATTCATTTCGATATTCAGGGCTTTATACGATTTCAAAATGAGGAATAAAATTATTTAAAGAATGGTTTTCTAGTTTTGAATCAAATAAAATAATTTTGAACAATAAAAAAGTATATTGAGATCAATATTTCTTTTTGAGAAAATATGTATGCACTAAATCGCTGGTTGGGATAAGAGAGGAACACGATAATAATATAAAACTAACATTAAACTGTCATTAAGATAATAATAGATGATAACCAATAATAAAAAAAACGCGAACACTAGAAACGATACTTTCAAAAACCTCGTTTTTGAGCTTAGTTAATTTTTTGGACTTTTGACCTTCATATTGAATTTTTAAAACCTGATATTGAATTCGTAATGAGCAATAAAATTAAAAAATTTTTAATTTTATAATTTTTAAATAAAACAAAAAATTTTTTTTTCTGTCTACCATTATAATTTTTTGTGCTTTATTTTCCACACAAGGCAATGTTGAACCTACTCGAAATTTAAATATAGATGAAACACCAAAGGGGTAATGACTCTCTATATTATTGTCTCTGAATTTTTATTTATTTTTTTTATCACTTATGGTTAACCATAGGCTTTATTATTTATTCAGAATGATCGTATCAATTATTATTGGATGCTAACTTCATATAGATATACAATATGTGAGTTAACCTAAAGTGACTCGCGTGAGAAATAGGATTTTCCATGCATTGTATACATAAATGTAATCTCCTATGTTGCGTGTTAAAAAGGGTTAAACTTGAAAGAAAAACGAGTGAACATTTCTACTCTATATATGCGTGACTCTGAATTTAAACTTCATTTTTACTTGGTATGTCATACAAGAAAAAAAATTATTATTATCAGAAAATTTCTTTTAAATTACATAATAATCATTTTTTTATTATATTTTTTTAAAATAATCTTGCAAGAAAATAGAATAGAATATTTTTTGGCTTTTATTTTGTATTTTTAATTATCTTATTTAAATCACTATTTTATGGGTTTTTTTATATATATATATACCTTTCGTCAACTTGTTTAAATATGAATTATTTGTGAAAAATAGTAGAAAGTATATTAAGTCACATAAATGTTGCCTAATGGTGAAAACCCCAGTTGTTAATTTTAAAATAATTATTCTAATTTAATTAAAAATTAATATAAATTATATAAATAAAAATAAATTAAATTAAATAAATTTTAAAACAAAAAAAAAGAACTTTTTCATTTTTATTATTCGCAAAGGAACATGATTTGTACTTGTTAGTGATTGCAAATTTCTTTGGGTAACCTTTTATAACAATCTTACAGTCCCCAACACAACGGTGCACGCTTCTCAATGCTTCCGCTTTGACGCAAACGACTTGCGACGTCACTTTCTCCTTTGACACGCGGTGACAATTTTATAACTAAACGATTATTATATATATGTCTCTATAGAAGTATGCGCGAGAAGGTCCTTGAAATTATTGTTTTTTTAATTTAATTTTCTTAACTAGCGCTTTGTAATATCAATGACTTAATTTTAACCACTAAAAACCTTCTTTGAGGTTGAAAAGGTCAATGACCTTTCCTTCGCAATCGATACAGTATATATATATATGTATAGAAAAGCTAAATGAAAATTATTTTTTATGCAATGGAATTTGTTATGAAATTATATATTTTATAATGTTCCTCTTTACCCTTATGGAATGTTCAAATTTACCCCTGTTCTCATCATAGAAAAGCTAAATAAGAAATAATTTTTTTTACAATTTTTTTTTAGATTGTATAATTTAGAATGTTCCTTTTTACCCCGGAATGTACTGTTTTACCCCTTCTCAGTAAAATTAAATCAAATAGATGACAGTAAATTAATAATTATGAGAAAATGAAAATAAATATTCATTAAATATTAATATAAATCTATTGAAAAAAATAATATGTTTAGGGCAAGAAAAAAATTTGTTAATATATAATAAATAGCGTGAAAGAGGTATCAAAAAAAAATAAAAAATAGAAGTAAATATTGAGGATCATCTTTCTCGTCGACAAGGCAATAGGTTTTTCCGTATGTAATACTTAAAAAAGCGTAGTGTCTTTCTCTCTTGTGAGCAAAGCATTCTTCGCATGACACAACACACATTGAGAGCGTTTATTTTTATTTTCATCGTAACCGCGATTACCTCTCTGGCATGATGGTCGAACAAGCATGAAAAAGCCAGTAGACTAATAAAAAAAATCAATATCTAAAAGACCCCACCCAACACGCGATATTTTATGCATATGTGATTTCTGTAATGAGCTATACTTCTCACTTGCAAAATTCAAATAAATGAAGATTTTATTTCAAAGTTTCATATTTTAATTATTTTATATAAATATATGAAAATTTGGCATTGAAAATATATATATTTGTCTCAGAGACAAATAAATATTTGTTTCAAAAGAAATTTTATTTCAGTTAAATAAAAATTTTATTTACGCTAAATAAATGTTTCTTTGTGCTAAACAAAATTTTTTTTTTTTTATTTAAAACAAATAAAAAGTTATTAGTCTCTAAGATATAAATATAAATATTTTGTTTAAATAAAATGATATATATCTGTAAAATTTTACATTGAAATTAAAAACAAAAAATCTCAAATTCTCGTGTAGAAAAAAAGTAGGCCAGAAGAAAAAGAGGGTGTAAGTCCATATTAACCTGATTAAATTATTTTGATATAATATACCTTCCTAGAGAATTTTTCTGTAAAACTGTATGCTTTCATATGTATAATTTAATTAATATATAGTAATTTTTTTATAAAGTTAAACTTTTATTTTTCATTTTTTCAATTCAAAGTATCGTAAAAAGAACCGATAATATAGGGAAGGGAAAAAAGAAATCGAAGAAATAGAATAAAATGAAAATTCATGTACACAATTTCGTTACAGATTTTATAATTCGAATTCACTAATAATAGAATTATCTTATATTGCAGCAATTTTTTTTTTTTTTTTTGCTAAATTGTTATTCAATTATTTTAATTGATTATTATTTTATTATTATTATTATTATTATTATTATTTACTTTATTAATATATAAAAACAACAAAAATTTCCTTCCGTGAATTATTAAAAACTTTAATTATGAGTGCAAATGCAATAGCTACTTGAAATGTGTTTGATATCAAGTGCAACAGGTACTTAGAAGTTTATAGCATTGTAAAGAGTGAGTGGAATTCATTATTGCTAATTTCAAATACCTGATTTAATCTTTAAAATTTATTATATTCTAACCTTTATATTTTCATTACACTTACTTTTAATCATTTATTCTCTAGTTATTTTTCTATTCTTTGACACAATAGTTGTACAAAATTTCATTGGAAAATAATAAGAAAAGTTTAAAAATAAAAAATAAAAATAAAATAATAAATTTTTCAAGATTTTAATCAATCATGATTTTAGAAATAATGTTTACTTTTCAAATATTATCTTAATTAACAACATAAATTCTACATGCTATTGTTAATTAATATTAATATGATTATGTGATATAACTGATGTGGAACCAAAAATTGTAAAAAAAATTTTTTTTTTTGTATATATAAAGTATATAATGAGGAAATAAATATATAGCCAACTGTATCGGTCAATTACATAAATAATTATATAAATTCATTATACAATTAAATATATATATATATATGTATAATCTTGATTGAATTTTTCTGTAATTAATATTTTTATATTGTAGAATTTAAAAAAATAAACAAAATTTGCAAAATTTTAAATTAATTTTTGTTTTAGATAAGTTTAACAACTTATTTTATTTTAATTAGTAATAAAAATTATGAAAATATGTTAAGCTAATTGTAAATTACAAGTGCATAGTTCCTTATCTGCTATGTATTAAAAAAAAATCAATTTACAGATATATATACACATATAAATAGTGAATAGCAAATATAATTGTAGTTATATCTATTTATGTAATCGACACTGTAAACTGGAAACATTTTTTTATATTTATAGTGTAAAGCTGACAATAATAGATAATAATATTAGATAATAATTTATTATAATAATATAATATATATAATATAATATATATTTATATAATAATAATAATAATAATTTATTGTATTTCTTAAGAAATATTTCAATCGCGAGAGAGGTATTTTCCGAAATGAGCTCATTCGATTCAGAATTTTTGAATATTCGCGCCAATATGCGCACAAACACCTGCGCATCGTATCGCGAATCATAGGTGGCGCTCACTTTTTTCTCTCACAATCAGTTCAGATACTCCTTCTATTCTATATAAACAGCCAGCGTTTTTCATAAAACTAATATTGTACTATTTCTAAAAATTCAACTAAATAGAAATACTTTCTAATTATTATTTGTTAGTAAATTATTATTAAAAAATTATTGTCATTTTTATTATTAAATAGTAATAATTATTTTTATTATTGTTAATTATTATTTACTTTATTCTATAATTATATTTTTCGCTAATAACAATAAAATCAAATTGGATAAAAAATTTAAAAATCGATCAAATTAGCTCGGGGGTTTTTTTGGGGTTGCTGATTACGAATTCAGATTTTTTAAAAATTCAATAACATTTGGTTTTCATTTTTTTGTTTCAGAAAAACGACAAAATGACGATTATATGGGCGGATTTAGTGCATAGTTACAGGGATCTCATGGACAACAAGTCCGGTAAGTACTCTTTATTTACTTGACGTAAGACGTAATGTCGATAAGTACATACCGGTAGTAAGTTAAATAACTGTGTACAGATATACACTTGACCGCCTTTCTCGAGTCACACACAGACAGGAAAGATTCCTTAAAATTCGCGTCATCTTTTTTGAATTTTTAGCATATTTATATTTACCCTACGTATTTTCGTCTTAATGTTTTTAAACGTACGTTTCATTATAAAGGTACAGTTATTGATATTTCAAAATTATATAAATTCACATTTTTTTTAAAAAAAAAAATCAATTCATGCGTTACTTACCGAGAAGTTTTTTTTCCAATTTCAAAGAAATGCATCGTCATCCATAAATTACGTAATGTTTCTTTTTTCGGAATTGTTGGCACCTCTCTTTTCACCTGTAAGAATAATGTGTTACATATTTATTTACTAATTTGAGATGTATATATAAAATAAATTGCAATGAAATTTTCTTGCAAAAATATTTTTTTCCATGCATTTTTCATAATTACTATCAGAGGAAAAGTTTCCTATTTTTTTTTTTTTTTAAATCGAAATGACAGTTGTTGGGTTCTTGTTTAATTTAGAGGAGATTTTACAATATACAACACAACAGCTTTGATTTTGGATGCTCCAAGAAACTCTCAAACAATTGAAAAGGGTTGAAGTTTTGGGAAAGAAAGTCGTTGTTTATCTCTCGACATCACTTGATTCGGGTCGCCGGTAGCTTCGAGCTTCGCGCATTGTGGTATTAGCCATTGTTCACTATCTTCGCAAGCGATGTTCCTAATTACACCATTGTATCCCAACAAAAAAAGTGACTCGAGAGGCAAGATTGACGCGGTTCTCTCATGAACTTCACTGAATTTAACAGCAATGTCGACATACTTTTTAGTTTTTTTTTTTTTTTTTTTTCCTTTTTAAAATCAGAATATTGAACAGAGACTTTGTAACTTTAATTAAAAAAAAATTTTTGACAATCATATAACGAAAAATATAAATAGATTAAATTAATTTTTCTTCACAGAAAAAATGAAGATTAATTTTAAGTCTGCAAAAAAAATAATTTTCTAAATAAACATTTAAATACTAATCAAAAGTGTACGTATACATAAATTACACATATCGATTATAGGTTTGTTTTAAATAAGCCAACAACCAAGTTCAGATTATTATGTTTGAAATGACCCGATTAGATAATATCCAATAAATAACAATAATTAATATTTCATTTTAATGTTTAATAAATAAATTCCAGAGGAATAAACTTTTTTTTATTTATTTTTTTTATTTGCAATAAATGCAAATTATTGTAATTCTCTTTGATTGTGATTAATATTGCAAAAAAAACATTTTTAATTTGCATAATGCTAATAAGTTGTATTAAGAAAATTATATTCTTTAACATTTTTATTGCTCATTGCGGTCATTAATGAAAAATATTTTTAAAGTGTTTTTTAAAATGTAAATTAATAAATGTAATAAAAAAATAGACAATAAGTAAAATAAAATTTTACTTATTTTCTTATTTTACATTTTTACTTATTTATTTAAAAATAAAGTAATTAACTTCACTAATTGTTAGTGAAATATAGAAAATTTTTAAATTTAAATTCAAATTTCGATAAAAAATAGTAAAAACGCACTAAAAGTCAATGAAATATTAGATAAAAATAGAATTTAATTTGATTGCAGATCCCAGGGTGAATAGTTGGGCTATGATGAGCAGTCCATTTCCAACAATGGCTATTTGTCTATCGTACGCTTATTTCAGTAAAGTGCTAGGGCCAAGACTGATGGAAAATAGAAAGCCCTTCGATCTACGAAGGATATTAATTTTCTACAACCTCGTACAGACTTTATTCTCTTCGTGGATATTTTACGAGGTGAGTTGATTATTTTTATTTTATTGTTAATTTATATTTCACATGGAAATTAATAATCAAAAATTCCTTGCTAAAATTCTTCTGTAGTTATAATTACCAGATTATTCAAAAAAAGTTTCCAAAGAAATGAATTTGGTTGGCTGAAATAATTCAAATTAACCAATCAAATTTGATTATCGTAATTTTTGTTATCTACAGAGTACTCGGTCAATATAAATTTTTAATTTTATTGTATTAAAAAATATTTATTATATTTATTATACGTTTATTATATATTATATATTTGATATATTTTATATGATATAAATATATTATATAATAAATAAATAAATATAGCAAATAATTTTTTTTTTATCAACACTTGTAAAATTAAAAATCAAGAACAAATTGTCAGAACTTTCGCGTTGTTCATCACTTTCAAATTTTAAATACAAGCTCAGTTTTCTCTACATGCATTATCCGTAGAAGGAGAGGCACCTGTTCGCGAGTAAATATTCGCGTTGATGACCCATAACACAATGGGACCGGTATTTAGAGCGTATTCGATACGTGATTAGTATGTTCCGCATGTAAAACAATACAGTTACAATAAATTTTATTTTTTTATTTTAAAAAACCTTTTCTTCATTTTTAATTTAACAATCAGTTATAATTACTAAAAATTTTGTATTAAACCAAGTCCACTTCTGGGCCGAAAGGCTGAAGCTTAATTAATAAATAATAATTACTAAAAATTTGAAGTTAGTAAAATTTCATTTAATTTACCAGAGTAATTGTTTATTTTTGTTTATTACTTAAAAAAGTCCTTTTAAACAACATTAAATGTTATTTAATTTTTGAATTTATCAATAAAAATTGAAAAATCAAATTTTTTTTTTCGTTTTCATTTCTACTTTGCGTTTATTTTCCTGTGGCTATAGAATTATACAAAATAAAAAATTCTCCTTTTATCCAAATTGTATTCTAAATTTAAATGGAATGGGATTTTTTATTATTTTTTTTTTTAAAGTGGAGCCTCTTGTTAAATCCTCTAAAAAAAATATGCATGAATTCAAAAGCCAAATTGTGTGGAAAATAATATGGAAAACGTACAAAGACTCTGTGTCAGAGCATTTCTAAGCAAATTGTCTAGGCGACAATGAGACCACACCAAGTACTTAAAGAAGATTTGAAAATCTTTATAGTATTTAAGGGCGCATATAAAGTGGCTTCAAATAAGTACCATCTTTATGAATATTCAATTTTGCATCAATTTCGTTAAAAAAAGGTCGCTAAAAATTTGATACTAAAAAAATTTTCTTTCAAATAAAGATAATTATTGGTTTGAAAAGGGGGGGTTTTTTTTTAATAATAATCAAGAAAACCGATTATATTTGAATCAAAAAATTTTTTTTCAGTGTATATTTTTTAAAAGAGAGTAATGAAAAGTGATAAAAGATTATAATATTGTGATCTGATATGAGTCAATAGATAATAATCACTCTGAATATGAATTTATCTTTATATATCTATCAGAAAAATACTAATCCTTGTTCAAATAAAAAAAAGGAAAATACAATTTTCTTGGAATATTAGTTACTATAAAATTATTTTAGAAAATGGCAAAGTCTATTTTTTTTTCAAAAAAGTGTTAATATATTTCAGTTGAAATAGAAGCAATTGGTTATTTAAATAGGAAAAAAAATATGACTATATATTTAAAAAAAAGTAAATATTTACTTGAATTTTAAATAAATATTGAATATCTCTCAGTGGAAAAATTAATTTGATTCAATAGTAAGAACATTACTTTTTTTGTCGTCATATATTACTTTTTTTCCTAAAAAAAAAAAAAAAAAAAAAAAACCATGACATAAACTTGGAAATGTTCGTTGACGCCTTTATGTTTTCAATTACAAATTCAAATTTGAGAAGTTCAAAGTATTAACAAATAAACGAAAAAGGAAATGACTTATCTACAAATTGCAAATCTGAGAATTCTTTGAATATATATGATGATGCTTGCTATATACGGAGTTTTCTAGGCGATAAATAAACGTCACAAGTTTGTCCAATAGTCCGACAGAAAGATAAAAAGATGGGATATCCTTATTCATGAATGTGTGTTGTTTTTTTTTCTTCTATTTTACTTCAATGCGTTTTAAGAATTTGCAAAAGTACACAAAACTCGATGAGTGTTAATATTCATAAAACGTTTAAGAGGGCTCTCTCAACTTTTAAAAACACTTTAGGTTTATAATAATTAATTCAAATCTTTTAAGTACTTTAAAACTGTTAAATGCTACTTGATTCTCTATTTTTTTTTATCTTATGAACCCGTGAATATATTTAAATTTACACTTTGGAATTTATTTTTTTATTCGTCTTTATTGGCATTGACATTTTTTAAAATTAAAATTTAACGCACTATTGAGTGGTATTTAATTTAGAAATATATTTAACATTAATATTTATTATATTTTTAAAATATTAATATATTAATATTTTTAATATACATTGAACAAAAATTTATTTGATTCAAATAAAAAGTATTTGGTCGAAATAAATATTTATTTGATAATAGCCACGTAATCTTTTCATCAAATTAAGTAATTGAATTTAAATGCTACTTTAGCTAAACCAATTAGGATCTTGATTAAATTATTTTTAAACTATTTCATTGAGAAATAAATAGAATAGTGTTACTTAATGAAAAATTTCACTGCTTGATTTGTATACGATTAACTCATTCTATCAAAAACAATTAAATAAAAGTGATTTTAATTTTCAATTAATTGGAACATTTTTTTTTTTTTTTTTTTGAACAAAACAAAAGAATATTTACATAATTTCTCATATGTTGCTAAAGGTGAAGTAATTATCACACAAAATAAATGCCTTTTTAAAACATCATTGAATAATTTATAATAATGAATAATGTAAAAAAAAGTTCACGACACCGTTTAACGTCAATAAAAAATAATTAACATCTTGTATTTTTAATTAGTCTTTCTTATTTTGATTTCTTTTTTTTCTATACTATTTTAGGAAAATGAAAAAAAAAGAAAATTATTAGATAATAAATTATAGATTGGAAAATTATTATCAAATAAATTTTGAAAAAAAATAAAGATGTTAATTTCTAATGCAATGAAAAGAAATTTTACGAGGCAATATAAATTATAAATTAATCGTTTATATAAATATTGTGTTCAATTAAATGGGACGTTTTTCAAATTTTTTTAAAATTATTATGAATATTTCAGTACTTAATGAGCGGCTGGGCGAAAGGCTACAGTTTCCGATGTCAACCAGTCGATTATTCAAATAATCCTTTAGCTGTTAGAATGGCAAACACGTGTTGGTGGTATTACTTTAGCAAGTTCACCGAATTTTTCGACACGGTAAGTTTAATATATTCATCATTTTTAAATACATACGAATTTCATTTTTTTGGGGGGAAAAAACGAATTTATAATTCCAATACATCAAAGAGATAAAGTAAATAATGCATACGGTAAAATAAAATTGACATCAAAGTTATTTGATTTTCAAATGATTTTTCAATTTCACACATATTATTTAACATTTAAAAATTCTACATATTTGATAATGTTGGAAAATAAAAAAAAATTTGTATTTTTTATAGTCTTCTGTATTCAGTTATTTATAATATTTATTTCAAATATTAATTGTTTTATCATCGGTTTTGTTAAATAATTGAATAATTAAAATAATTAAAATACTTTTTATAATTTTTATCTAAAATAAAAATTTTGGAAAATAATTAATTTAAAAAAGATTTAAATGAAAATTATATAATTGAAGAGAAATAACGAAATAAAAATAAATTGCGAATGTAAATTTTGTATATTTGTCATTTTTGACATTTTTTTTTTTTACACATTTATAAACTTGAAAATAAATGTATCTTTGAGAAAAATTCATCTATGATGTAATATATATTGAAAATATGAAAGTGTGAGTCTAAAATTATTTGCGAAAAGGATTCCGTAGACAGGGATTTCGAGATCGTTATTGAACACACACGTGGTCGTGGACGGTTTGAACAGAAAGTTCGAAAGTTTGCTTCCTCAAGGCTTAGCTCAAGGATCACAAGGTTTACCCTGACCGCTGATTACTAGAACACGGAATAACATACTATTTCCTGAAAAACTGATGCTTGAAGAGCAAAGAAATTTCGAAATTGATTTTTTTTTTTCATCAAAAAAAGTTTTAAATTCTTTCTGTTTTTTTATTTCTATTCTATTATTTGCTATTTATTTTCATTAATTAATATAATATTAATTAATAATCATAAATTAATTTCATTATATACTTTGCAAGTATTAAGTGAGTTTCCAATCTATGTATTGTCGATAAAGTAGATTATTGCGCGCGAATTTTAAATTTCTATAATATAAATATTCGGCGAAATAAACATTTTATTTTACAAAATACGGCTAAATAATTAATTTTCTTTTTATCAGTTTATATAAATTAGAAATTTAAAAAATTTATTTTATTTTCACAGTTCTTCTTCATATTAAGAAAAAAGAATCAGCATGTGTCAACTCTACACGTAATTCATCATGGCGTAATGCCTTTTTCCGTATGGATGGGAATGAAGTTTGCACCAGGTGGTCATAGCACATTTTTTGCTCTCTTAAACGCTTTTGTTCATATTATCATGTATTTCTATTACATGGTGGCCGCTATGGGTCCAAAATACCAAAAATATATTTGGTGGAAAAAGTACCTCACGACATTCCAAATGGTAAGATTTATTATTATTGATTATATTTTAAAGAAATTTTTTTTTTTTATTTTTATTAATCGAAAAAATCAAGTTATACAACAGTGTTTCATAATAAATATAAATTCAAGAATTCCTCTCTAAATATATATACTTGACAAGATCACTTATATTGAATGTTGATTTTATCAGACTAATTATATTCAGATTGAACTTGAATTATATTATTATTAATGAAATCTTATCTCTTTTTCACTCGTGGGAGTTCCCTAATCAACTGTCTAAGATATTTAATCATTTTCTGTGATAAAAATTGTTATCTAATTTTTCTGTACCAATTCAATTATTCCCACACATATCAATTTGTATTCATCTTATGAATTTTCTTACATTAGTTAAAATTATATTTGTTTAATGACTTTGATAATGATAAAGAAAATGTAGAAATTAAAAAAAAAACAATTAAAAAAAAAGTTGCATTTTCGAAGGAATGTCGAAGTGTCCAATAAGAAGTTTCAATATTATGCAAATTGACATAAAAATAGAAAGTGATAGGCTCATTATTACACAACCAAGAATGGGGAAAAATAATTTCATAACATCTTCCGAGGAGATCGCATTTTTATAACATTGCCTTTAAGGCGGTGCTCTCTCGGTATTGCTTTGAACGAGCGAATGGTTTAAACGAGACCCGGGAATTCCCGTCGAGATGTTTCGCGTTACGATATCTTTTTTTTTACAGCCTCTTCTTAAATAACTTTCACTTTCGATGGACACCTCAATTAGAGTCTGTTTCGAGGGCAGGAAAATTGCTCATATACGTTCTTCCACTTTCCTCCCCAGATTCCTCTTTTTTTTTTTTTTTTTTTTTTTACGTAACATTATTATTTTGGGTGGGAGAATTATTATCTGAATGACCGCAAAATGAGAGCTCAAAGAATTTGTGTCCCACAAAAGACTTGCTGTCAAAAATTTCTAAAACACTTGCTTTTTTCCCCCACTTGTGAAAATTATGCGCGAAATTGAAATTTAAAAATTTCGCGCGCAATTTTCTACATTACCGACTGTATCTAGATTGGAAACTTAATTCTTTTTTTCTATTACAGATTCAGTTTGTACTGATCATGACCCATCAATTCCAACTATTATTTACCGAATGCGACTATCCACGTTCATTCATGATTTGGATTGGTCTTCATGGATTTTTATTTTTGGGTTTGTTCTCTGATTTTTATAAGACAAAATACACCATAAAACCAAGGAAGTCACATCAAAATGGCACATCAAATGGCGCATGCATGCCAGTTTTGGATGATCCTGTCAAGCCAAAGCAAAATGGCATCTCGTCCTATGCCACAATTTACAGTAAAGAATACAATAGTTGTTACAGTAATGGTACCAATAATGGTTATGTTGCAAACAATAATACGGAGAAGAAACTTGCCTAAGGTTGCTCCGTCCCAGTAAAAAAAAAGAAAAAAAATGAAACACGTTTCCTTTTTTTAAAAAAAATTGCGTGTCTCACAATGTGCACGCATCAAATTCCAAATGGCTGATTCGCACAAAAAAAATCAGGTTCAACAATTAATTGAGCGCTCCTTGCCAATGCCGCGACTGCGACAATATTATTATTGTAGTGAGATAAATAAATGGCTCACGCATTTCTTTTATACATAGGAATTTCGAATGATATTCGTTATCCTAAAACGCGTTTCATCACTTTATATATTTTTTTTTTTTGTATTTTTTTTATATTTAATAAATTTTAAGTGAACGCATTTACGAATTATTGATATTCGAAAAGCCATTTGTCTAGTCTGTAAACCAAACTTTTTTTTTTAGCTTGATCAAATGGATAATGCAACACCAATATGTGATGAATAATCGAACTTTAAATAAAATAAGAACTTGAAAAAAAGCCAATAGATTGCAACATAATTCAATTCTGATAATTTTTTTTTTATTTTATTTTCAAGCCAATAGAGCGAATCAACTATTTAAAATATAAAAAGAAAAATGACACATTTGTTATGTTGACTAAATAAATATCTTATTTAATTTGCTTCGATCATTATCTTTTTTTTTCCTGAAAAATTGCTTTTAGGGCATTTAAATAATTTAAATTTTTGGCTTACATTTTTCAGTTTTAGTCATGCTAAACAAGAAAAAAGTTCAAAATTTCTTTACCTTTAAATAAAGTAAAATTGTTAGCATTTTAAACTAAAATAAAAATTCTTTTTTTTTACAAAAGGTAATTTTCTTTTTATCCAATTTTTCTAATTTACCTGTTCCTTTTTTTTTCTTGCAAATTAAAAAAAAATCAAGCTCAAATTTTTCTTCAAGGTGATAAAAAATAATTTACAAAAAATTAATTCCTGATCTCGAATCATTCTTCCTTTATGTGCATTTCTATAAACGAAGACGTAAGCTCAAAACTTCTTTGATACGCAATTTTTCTACTGAATCGTGCGAATAATTTATACTATACATGTCGATTTTACAACTTAAATGAAAAAATAAAAATAAAAAAAAAATAGGCGCTGGCAAGGAACGCAAAAAACAAAGGAATTAAATAATAATAAAAAAAGAAGGGACTGAGAGTGAGCGCACAAGTGAAAACGCGGAGTACGAAATATTCGTAACTTCAAGAAGCTTTTTCTCAAGAGCTCGCCTAATTTTCATTCAGTCATAAAAGACTATGTTTCTAATAATTGTCCCAAATGTGTTCAAAAGAAAAAAAAAACAAAAAAAAAAAAAGAAAACCGAACTATACAATCAAAGTGAAATGAGTCCTGTTAGCTTTTTATTCGTCAAGGATATTTGTTGGAAAGAAAAACAGAAAATAGTCATTTTTTCTTTTTTTCCTCAAATAGAAAGAATTTTTTGTCCCATTTTTTTATGTAAAAGAATTTACAGAAATCCCTTTCTTTCTATTTCTGAAAAAATTTTAACATTTCCACATGAAGGGGATAAAAATTTGTATTTTACAAATAAAAAAATGGCTATTCTCAAATTTCCATAATTCGATTTTATTGAACACCAATCCATGACGTAATTATTTAAATTAGATTTTTGTAATTGTAAATTATTTCTGTGAGATTGTTTAAAACACACAGTTCTCATTCACATTTGTTTATGGTTCGGTTTATTATTAAAAAAGAAAAAAAAAAAAAACTTTGTCGATCGTCGTCACTGTGTGATTGTCCGCAAAATATAAATATTTGATTCAAATAAGCGCATTTCTTATTTCGATTAGAAAAAAAAATCGATTTTCTCTTTTTTATTATTATTATATATCTAATACCGACCAAAAAAACAAAATGGTAAATATGATCGATTTCACAACGCTAAAGACTAATCTTCTGCACGTTGTGATTTTAGTACTAGATAGAAAAAAAAATCCTGTCATTTCTCGAAGGAAAAGAGAATCATTCAATTTCAAAAGAATCACACAAAAAAAAGTATCTTTCAAAATTACGATTCTTTTGAAATTGATATTTTAGGCCGAGAGTTCAAAAAGTTTTTTTTTCCACTCTTTTTGAACTTTTTTTGCCGCCAGGAATTGAATTCATTTAATGTATGACTTGAAAACAAACTAATTTTACAATTTTTCTTTTCCTTCGCTAAGAAATGAATACTAAGAGAGAAAAAAAACTATATGTAAGCTATATAAAAAAAAAAAATTTGTTTTAGTCGTGAGTCTGTATGAAATTTATGTTCAAAATATTAAAGCTAGAAAAAATGTTCGCTGAATGCTGAAGAATTATATGGAAAGATGGATAAGATTTAAGGCTGTTGAATTGTTAAGACATCAAGATTTTTTTTTGGAACGATTAGTTAAAAAAAAAAAAAAAAAAAAAAAAATGAGGCTGTTTCCAAGTAAAGTTGAGATTCGAGCGTTCAACAATATTCCAGATTAAATAGAATTCCACTTTGATAGAATGATTTTATTGCGAATGTGAGAGCAAGATCTTTGAATTTATATTATATATAATATCTTCATAACACAATTATATGAAAATTAGTAAACCGTGCATTTGTTCAATTCAAATGAAATTCGTCTCTACAAGAGTGAATTCGACTCGAAGAAAAGGATTTTCTTTCAAATCTAAATTTTTCTTCAATTCGACTATTGCACATTTCTAATGAAATTATTTCAATATTAAAATATAAAAATATAAAAATATTGAAATATCAAAATATTAAAATGTGAAAAGAAAAATATTGAAAAATGAAGATATTAAAATATTATTAAGATCTTCAAAAAAAAAAAAAAAATTAATAAATAAATAGAACATAAATGTTTGCGCAAGTGAATGTGAAAAAAAATTCGAATGAGTGGAATGCGCCTTTTTGCGAAAAGACATGAAACACAAGCATCTTCTTCGTGTACCTAACGTTAAACTCTGCAATGATTAACGATCCTCATTATATTTTTGTACATATAACAATTGGGGAGAATAATGAAATATAAAATCGATAAGAGTCCTATCTCTACGTTGTTTATTACCAAGAACCTTAGACGTTCTTTTAGAACACAGTAAATGTAAAAATTATTTATAAATTTTAGAATTTGTAGAAGAAAAAAATTGAAAAACATCAACAAAAAATAATGGAAACATTCGAGTTTGTAAGCCTGACAATTTTGCTCTTTATTTTTTCAAAAAAAAAACTGAGCTTCTTTGTAATTTATTTTTACAAACTGCTGATTAATAAATAAAATCACTTTTTAAAAAGTACTAAAAAAAAAAAAAAAATGAAAAACAAAAAGTTTTAGTACAAAAAAAAAGAAAAGGAAATATGTAGCTTTAGCGGAAAATTGCTCATTTTTACCATTACTTATATACTATTTCCGCTTTAAATTATGTATCTTTGAGATATATTTTTCGATTTATAATCATGTTATAAACAATTTTTGTAATTTATTGACTCCTTCGTGTAATTATACGTCGCTTTTTATAAGTGTCAAATAAGCAGAATGTACATCAATTAATTTTTTTTTTTTTTAGTTATAATGTTAAAATTACAATGAGATACTTTGAATTATTTCCGTAATTTATTTTTTTCACCTTTACCATTTTTTTTTTCAATCGGTTTAGATTTTTTTAAATCATTAAATCATATGAAATGAAATATTTTTAAAAATTGTCTGTCTCAGAAAACATGTCGTAAATGCAAATGAAACATTATTTTAACGTCAGGTTAGAAACAAAATTGATTTCAAATTATTAAAAAAATTTTCTGTTTAGAAATGAAACAAAAAAAAAAATTTGTTTCGCAAAATAATGAAAAATTTGAAATTCTTGAAAAAGAGAAAATATTTTTAATTTTTCCTTTATATTTGAAACACTAGAAATTCAAAATTTAAAGATGTGAGAAAATTAGATAATGACTCAGGTGATTTTACTTGTATACATATAGACATCTATGTATATGTATAAACACTTAAACTTGTATCACCAAAAGTACAGATTACACGTCACTGAACCAACTGATTCAGTGTCGTTATCACTGTCGAGACAAACGTCTTGCCTTTTTTTTTTTTTTGAAAAAAAAAAACTTGTGATTTATCTCGAGACAGGAACTAGTTCACCTGTCGACACGTGTGATTCTTTTCTTAATTTTTTTAAAAATAAAAATCCAATAGAAAATTAAAATAAACATGAATGAAATTAAAATTAATCAACGAATTTCAAAAATGTTTGATAAGAAATAAAAGTATCATACAAAACTTTTGGAAAATTTTTAATATGATACTAATTTGAATTATTAAAAATTTTATTTTAACTGATTTTAACAGTGAATTTTTAAAAATTTTTTATGTGAAAGTCGAAAATTCGTTTGTGTTTTTATAAAAATGATTATTTGAATTATGATTAATACCATAAATTTTGTGTAATTGTAAAATTTAGTGTCAAATAGATAATAAAATCGGAAAACATCATCTTTGCAAGAAAATTCCATTACGATTTAAAAGGTAAGGTTTCTTTCTATTTATAGGGTTCATTTAAAATTCATTCGTTACGAGAATTTTCATTATAGGTAAAATGTAAATATATATAAAATTAATCAAAATAGAATTTAAATATATTTTATTGCAGTACTCACCGATTTAAGTTGAGAGTAAATTGTAGTCAACGTCCATCCCCTTGTAAATTATTAACAAGAACCTGAAAAAATAAAAATATACATTTTTTTTTTATAAAAATTACAATATTTAACATATTTTAACATTTTATTTGCATAATTAGAGAAAAAATTTTTGACATTAAAAATTATAATAATTTTATATATATAATATAATAATAATAATAATAATAATAATAATAATAATAATAATAATATAATATAATATAATTTTATATATATAATTTTTTATATATAATTTTATATCAAAATTTTTGTAAAATATAATTTGTCTCAGAGGAAAATAAAATAGCATATA